GAGCCTGCAACAGAGGTAGGTGCCCTTGACCTTTCAGTCCGAAGGCTGACACACACTGAGCCAAACGGGCTCGGGCTATTAATGGATATTTAGGTTGTTTCTAAATGTTTGCTACTATAAGCAAAACTTAGATGGAAATCCTTGTGGCTAAATATTTGCACTTATTTTTAATTATTTTCTTAGAATAAACTCCTAGAAGTAGAATTTCGGGTTCAAGATGTGGGCACAATTAAAGACCTTTGACCCATACTGCAAAGTTATGCCACAAAAGTCAGTGCCAATGTACTCCCCCAACCACAGTGTGGGGTCACCTTCTCCCTTCATTCAAGCCTTTTCCAATCTTTACCAATCTGGCACGCAAAGTGACACATCATTATTTGTATTTGTATTTCTTTCATTACTAAGGAAAATGACATCATTCACTTTCCCTTATTGGCAATCTGTTATTGTGTAACCTGTTTGTTAATATCTCTTGCCCACTTTTCTACTAGAATCTTTTTCTTTCTTGTTTGTGGGAGTTCTTTATATACTATTAGTCCTTTGTCATTAAGGCTAATAATATATATCATTTGCCTTTTAGTTTTGCTTCAGGTGTGATTTTTATGTTCAAAAAATTTTAATTTGTATGTGTTTTCTCAACAATAAAGTATGTACATTCAGGATTCTAAACTACTGACTTGTAAATTATTGAGCATTTGAAATATAACCAGTTGTACATGTATGACCTCGTACACTGGCTACTTTATCATATGTTTTCATCTCTTTTCTGCATGTGACATCTGTGAAGGCACAGGTCATGACATTTCTCGAATCCCCCATAATAACCAGCACATAGCTCAGAACATAGCAAAGCTCCAAATTGTCTTAAATGAAAAAATATTGCCTGGGATTTGCTTTGAAGCAATCTAATTTGGGATGGAAGACAAAAATGGGATAAGATGAAACAGAACCAGCCACATGTCAATCATTGTTGAAGCTGGGTGATGGATACATGGAACTCATTATACTATTATTTCTACTTTTTTATATATTTGAAAATTTCCATAATCAAAAGGATTTTTTTAAAGGTTTGCTTGACCAGTCGGTCAACAGCATCAGAGAGGGGACTTCTAGAACAACAATGGGAAATAAATTACATTTATATCAAGGACCCTTCTGTAGCACAAAGAAGTTAAGATCACAGGCCTTGAAACTAGGCAGGCTGGGTGCCAGTCCTTTCTAGCTTAGTGACTTTGAACCAGTTATTCAACCCCTCTGATGCTCGTGTTTCCATTATAAATAAGGGTATTAAGAACTGCCTCAAAAGGTCCTAATAAAGATTTACGGGTGTAAAACTCAGTGCCTAGCACCAAGTAGCACTCGATAAAGAGTCGTCATCGTTATTATCCAGGGATGTACAAGCTTGACACACTCCAGCCACACTTCCTGGTGGTGGTGATCCTATACCTTTCTACTACAGCTCTGGTTTCGGTGAATCAGCTCGGGCATTGGGCAACTGCTTGGCAGAGAACTTGGTAGAACAGATGTCAGGAGCCACGTTCCTGATGCCCAGATAAGGCCACAGCAGAGGACAAAGACCACAGACCCCCAACCTTACTCAGCAGGTCACCAGAGAGCATTAACTCCATGTTCCAATGATGCAATCAAGAATAAGGGTGATGATGCCCTAACAGGTTTGGCTCAATGGATAGAGCATCGGCCTGTGGACTGAAAGATCCTAGGTTTGATTCTGGTCAAGGGCATGTACCTTGGTTGCGGGCTCGATCCCCAGTAGGGGGTGTGCAGGAGGCAGCTGATCGATGTTTCTCTCTCAACGATGTTTCTAACTATTTCTCTCCCTTCCTCTCTGTAAAAAAATCAATAAAATATATTTTTTTTAAAAAAAGAACAAGGGTGATGCTGCCTGGCCAGTGTAGCTCAGTGGTTGATCGTTGACCCATGCACCAAGAGGTCACCAGTTCGATTCCTGGTCAGGGCACATACCCTGGTTGAAGACTCCATCCCCATCACCCAGCCTCAACAGGAGGCAGCTGACTGATGTCTCTCTCTCATCGATGTTTCTATCTCTCTTCCCGTCTCCTTTCCTCTCTCTCTAAGATCAATAAAAACATATATTTAAAAAAATTTTTTCAACAATAAAACTTAAAAAAAACAACAAGGGCGATGAAGCCCTTTGACCCAACACTGGCATCACCTGGGGTCCCCCTCCCAGGATTTGATTTCACAGTCTGGGCTGTGGACTGGGTAGGTATCAAGGTTTTTAAAAAAGCTAATGTGCACCAACCACTCTGCTGTGTGAGCTGGGGTGGAGGGAAGAGGACAAGGGAAAACAAAGAAGAGAACAGAGATCCTTGCATCCCACACGAACCCCATGAAAGCCAAACCAGTCATGTGGTCCCAAGCTGTGCCCCATGCCAGACAAACCTAGTCCCTTTCAAGCCCCTTCCCTCCCCCTCTAAACTTCATAATTCATAGGGCTAACATGTTTTATTGACACCAAGATACATGCGTATCAATATTATAAAGAATAGCTAAGCAGCACAGCCATAGCTCATCTCTGGGTTTCAGTCTTAAAAAACAAGAGTCCAGCTCGGTGCTGGTGGAGGTTGGGGGAGGGAGAAAGCAATTTGTCCCTCGCCTTTTGGCAGCCCGTCAGGGCGATTGACGCTCACTCAAAGAGGCAGCCTCGTTCTGTGAAGTTATTGCAGTGTCTTTGATCAAGGGGAAAAGCACATCCAATTCAATCACTGTAACGGGCCCGGCCGGCTGTCTGGCTGCCTGGCTGCCCACCGGGGTGACCAGCCTTGAGCCTGCAGACACATGGCAGCGCTTACCGTGTCAAACAAATGAGGGGTTCCTGACTGCCTCCCCAACCTTTGCTGAACTTCAGGGGCCTCTCACTTAGCGATTCCGCCCTGACTAATCTGGAAGTTCCTCCACCTGGTCCGCCGGGCCTCGCCCAAACAAAGGCTGGCCAGCAGCTGTCTGTCACGCGGCAGCAAACACTTCAGAACCAGGAGGGCAGGGGTCAACCGCTCTCATAAGCAACACACTCAGAATTACACAAGCCTGGAGAAAAGGGGGGAGGGGGAACGCGACTGTGCCCCCTTCCTATGACCTTTACCCCATCTCGGCCCCAAACTCAGCGCAGAGAGGTCTGTTTGAATTCTCAAATCCATACACAAAGATCGCCTGCAATCTTCCCACTAGAATAAATACTGTAATAAAAAATTGAGGAGAGGGCTAATCAATTTTCAAACTTGGGGAGGTTCGACACAAGGTTTTTATTTTCTTTAAGTGACATCATTCATAAAATCTGGTGGAGATGTGAGTAGCAGAGCCAGAGTGGAGATGGGGAGGAAGATGATAACAATGACAGATATTTATACACAGTTTCTGTGCTTCAAGTGCTTTACACACATTAACTCATGTAATCTTCAACACAACCTTATGAGGTAAGCTACAGTAATGTTTATTGATAGTAATAATAGTAGCATAATAATAATAGATATAATAATTATCACTATATACAATAATGGAGATAATCTCCATTTTTCCCATAAGGATAATAATGACCCAGAGAAGTCCAGTGGCTTGCCTGAGGGGTGGGGCTGGGAGTCATGCCCAGGCAGTCTGGTACCCTAACCACAGCACTAGGATCGGTGCGCTAACCACAGCACTAGACTGCCTTCTGCCAGTCCACACCTCAGAGTCCACTTTAAAGCTGCCCGTTCAAAGAATAGCAGAGTGTGGAGGCCTCTGGAGCTAGAGGGAGCTGAGTTTGCATCCCAGTTCGGCCACTCTGCGCCCGGCTGCGGTTGCATCGTCTGTGAATGGGGATCATCGCACCTACCTCACAGGCCCGGGTGAGGCTTCAGTGAGAAAATGAGCCAAGGCCCGTTTTAATGCAGTGGCCCTCAGTCCTGGACAAACATTTGAATCCGCTGGGAATTTCTAAAAATATGAGGCCCAACCACTTCCCCACCACCTGCCACAGTTACCCCTAAGCAGGTGGTCAGTCTGAAACCAGCCTTCCCCTGGGCCCTGCCCCGAAAGGAGACCTGAAACCCACGGGCCCGAAGGCCAGCCCGCACCCTTTGCCCCACTGATTCAGAATTGCAGGGAAGGTGAAACCTCTGAAGGTTTTGCTTCCACCCAACTCCGCTCTCTTCCACAGAGAAAATGGAGGCACCAGGACCATCCCCAACCCCCCGGCTGGCGCACCCCTGCCCTGTGACCTTCCCCACGATCATGGGCAGTGCCTTCATCCAGCCGCCTCCCGCCCCACCTCCAGCCTAAACGCTTCTGAAGGAGTAACCTGCTGTCCTATTGTCCCCTGCTGCCTGTTTTAGAAATAGTCTGAGCCAACATCAACACGGCGAGCGTTACTTTTACACAGAGCTCTGGCCAGAGCAGCATGAGAGCCGGGACTGCCTGAAAAGAAACTTTAAAATCTGTGTGCATGCAGACACACGAGCGTATGCACGCGCGTGGATGAACGCAGACACCACACACACACACACACACACACACACACACCACGTACTCCAATTACCAGAGTACACTTTGTACCCCAAGGGGTACCTGCTCATTGAAGAACTTGGGAGAAGGCGGGGGAGGGGGGGGGCAGAGAGCAGTAGCAATAAATAGTGAAGGGAATACCAGGGTTGCCCATGGAAACTGGCAAGGATAAGAAAAAATAATCAGCTTCCATTTGACAGAAGAGAAAAATGGAGAGGGCCAGCAGGGAGGACGGGGACCAAGCAATGCCAGTTTCCTGGCTTGGACTTGCACACGCCTTCTCGGCGCCCACTGCCAGCTGGCAAGGGGCAGCATGGAGGGTCCAGGAGGGGGAACGCAGGCACCAGAAGGTAGCACAGAGGGTGTCAAAGAGCCCTCAGCTGATTCCCAGAGAGCCAAGGCTCGGGGCGGCCCTCCCGGGCCTGGCACCTCCTTCCGGCCCCGTTCCAGAGTCCAGAGAGACTGGGCCAAGGCCTCACCTGGGTGAAGGAGCCATCCTCGCTGCATTCCGGGACAAACACCGCCTCCTGGGGCTTCTTGGCTTGCTCCAGGGCCTGAGCCCGCTCCAGGCGACACTTGCTCTGGCCAGCGTCTAGAAGAGGAGAGGAGCGAGCATTTGTCACACCTCCCTTGGATTCCGCGCAGGATGGCTGCCCGGCCTGGGAGCCTGAGGACCCCGCAGGATCTCACCACAATCCAGCGGGAGCCCCCACAGCACCGGCTCCTCTAATGACAGGCAGGGCCAGTGAGTGCCCGGGCTCATCCTCCTCGTCGGTGTTCTTCTTAGAAAAGTGGGGGTTGTATTTATACCACCTTCTACTTATTTTTTCTCCCAAGTACCCCCAAAAGCTTGTCCCACTTCTCTTATTTTTCACTGGGTTTATTAAAACACATGCAAGCCCACGGGGCCTCCAAGATGTTTTCTAGTTCAAGAATGGCAAGCACTTTCTTCGGGAAATCAGAGGCTCGAGAGCGGCCTGCTTAGCCTCCCACAGTTCCTATAATGGCTCCAAGCAGCTCAGAATCACAAACCCAAATATCCGCAGGGGGTAGGAGAGTGACAGGAATTAGAGGAGCCTTCAGCTTGGAGACACCATAGTGGGTGCTGAGGCCTGTGACAAATCGGAGAGCCGGTTCCCTGTACAGGAGGTGGCTGCTACTCAGCTCTAGCCACGTGTTGCCTTGTGGGAGGGAACACAAACATAATATTCCCAGAGCTCCCAATTTTTTATGAGAAGTACCAAAATCCGGATTTTGATGTTGAATCTCCTAATTTTTAAATGTTGTCTCAAATGTTTTTAATATTTTTAAACAGGTGAGCGGGCCAAAAAAAACACCACATCTCTTGACCAACCGTTTGGAACCCCTGTTCGGAAGCCAGCAATAATGTCTTGCTATTTTAAGCATCTCCATTTTTAAAATAAAAATAAATAGCCCAAGCCACACAGGATCACATCCCCCTAAGCCGGAGCCTGGCGACAGCGTTTCAAAGACAGAAAAGTGCTCATTTCTCCAGGTAGACCAGTTCACGTCATATTCCCTGGTAGAAAGGGTAGGGGGGTAGGATAGCAAACCAAATAAATAGACTTGTTCTGAGATCCCCAACTCCCCCCCCCCCAACCCCCAACCCCTCCTAAGGAGTGTACCATGCAGGAAGCTGTGGTGCCCAAGCATCTCTCCTCAACTGGGTAGAGATGTGCACAACTCACCTTTGCATCTGCCTCGATGTACCACACCCAGGGCTGGGTCTCTGCACTTGGCTCGCTGGTACTCACACATGGACTCATAGGACCGGCCATCGGAGGCACAGATGGGTTTCGGTTGAGTCCTAGAGCAGTGGAGGTTGCACTGAGGGTCGCGGTCACTTATGAGAAACTAGATTGGGAAAAGTGAAAGGGTATAGAGGTTACTCTTACAAGAAAATTTGGGGAGAGCCCATGACTTAGAATACTGATTCACTTAGCAAGTCCAGAAACCCAAAGTTATTAAACCCTGGATGTGGAAGGGAACTGAGCAGCCACAAAGTCTCACCAAGGAAGGCACCTGTGCTGGGTAATTCCCCCGCAGGATCTATCTCATCAATCCTCACAACCACCCTATGAAATGGAAACCATCTATTTTGTAGATAAGGAAACGGAAGCTTAGAGAGAGGTAACTTGCCCAGTGTTACAAACTGTAAGTGGTGCATGTGATTGGCCAGAAGTCAAATCAAAGCTTTTCCCACTGAGACATTCAGCCTTCCCATCCATGCAGGTCACGAGTCCTCTCTTTTGGTACTTCCCCAAATTAGGAAGTCCCTAGCAATCTCTAGATTCCATCTTTGGATAGTTTTATTTATTAGAAAGTGATATTGATCCACAAATCGATTACTTTTTCATTTCGGCCCACTGCTCTCTGGCAGAATTCAAGCTAAATGATTTTCTGTGAGTAAAGGAGTTCCTGATTTTAAACAACAATAATAACCAGCTTGGAAAATGCTGAGTTAAACAGGTTTCTTCAGGACTTCTCAGACACCTTGGATACATTCTCATGCACTGTGAATCTCCAAGAGATTCAGTAAATTAAAGATTGCTGCAAATTATTTGCTACTCTTCCCATTGAGCTGTGGAGTCTAAGTCCCTCCCCGTGAATCTGGACTGGCCTCGCTAACTTACCTACCCAATAAAAGGCTGTGGCAGTGATGTTTGGGGATTTCCAAGCAGGTTCATACAAAGTCTTACAGCTTCCTCCCAGGCCTCTTGCAACACTCACTCTGGAGGAAACCAGCTGCCATGTAAGAAGCCTAACAACCCTCAGACGGCCATGCTATGAGGAAGCCCAAGCTACCATGTGGTGAAACCATGTGCAGGGAGAAATCCCCAGACAACCCAGGCCGGGAGACATGTGAGTGAAGCAACTTCTGATGAGTCTACCCCCAGTCGTTGTCTGATTGCAACTAACAGAGATGAAAGGAAGTAACTGTGTGAGAGACCCCAAGTGAGAACCGCTCAGCTGATCCCCATCAACCCGCAGTACTGTGAAAGGTAATAATAAATTGTTGTTTTAGCCATTAAGTGTAGTGGCAGTTTGTTACATAGAAATAGATAACCAGGAAGGGGCATTTATGATGATGCATCTCCCAAACTTATTCAACCATGAACCCCTTTATCAGTGAACCCCTGTTAACAGGAGGCCATACAATCCATAAGTTTCTTTTGAACAGCCCATAATTCCACAGCATGGGCCTTGAGAGCTGGGTCTCCTCTCATCCACCCTCGTACAGCAGAATCTGGGCACACTGAAGGCTCTTCATCAGTGCGGAGCGAGGGAATGGGTATCCCACAATGCATGGCAATGTCATGAGCACACATCTGGCTGCAGTGGTGCTAGAGTTGACTGAGTGATCACACCAAGATCACAGGGTACAGGGAAGGGGTGACCACAGCCCCTGTTTCAGGTATATCTGCAGGCTCTTTGTGTGAAGCAGAAAGATGAGAACTTGCTGACTCTTTTCCAGAACAGCAGAGGGAGGTCCAGAGGCAGTGCCATTTCTTCAAGGGAGCACTGGAAACAGACGCCCCCTACTGGAAAGATTCTAAGAGAGTCCAAGCCTGTCCATTAATGCACAGACTACTTCCTTAGCTGCAAAACCAGTCCCTCCCACCCCAAACCACC